AACGTGCAGCGCTGACGGGGCTCCCCAGAGCCGTGGGGAGCAGAGAAACGGGGCGGGGAGGGCACAGGGCGAGGGGAGGGTCTGCGCGAGCCTTGGGGTGAAGGCAAAGAGGGCACAGGAGAAGGACTAAAGGGAAGTCGGGAGAGAGAGAGAGACGGGTACAGGGCTGGCGAACGGAGCCGGAGGCAGCCGGAGACACCGCAGGCTGTGCCGCGAACGCGGTTCGGACCCCGCAGCCTGTGACGGCCTCGCACCGAGCAGCAAAGGGGAGCTGGCCCTGCTGCTAAGGTCTGCGTTCAGCTGGGCTTTGAGCCTGCGATTAAGTCCTGTTTACTTCAGGAGGATTTATGAGCGCGCTTAACTGCCTTGCTGAACTGGGATGGAGTCAAGCACGCCTTTAAGTGCTTTGTTGTGCTGGGACCTGAGCAATAAAAGGGATTGCTGGTAAAGGGAAAGCCACTCGCTCCTGCTCAACTAGTGTTTAATTGCACAGGGAGGAACAGCTCTGCTCGGCGCGCATGGGGGACCTCGCGGCAGGAGCCCTCCAGCTTCTTCTCCGGGACATGCTGCTCCCGGGGACCGGCCTTCCTCCGCGCACATCAGCCTGCTGGCACCCTGCCTCGGTACGCGGAGGATTTGGGTCACCGCGGCTGGGGATTTGGAGCTGCGGGCTCGGCTGGAGCAGATATATAATCCCTCCGCGCGTGGTGCGTTGGGCCAGCGTCCCCTGCCCGGAGGGCTGCTTGGAGGTACCACGCAGCGCGGGGCGGCTGCTCCTGGCCGTTTAAAGCAATAAGGGAACGTGCAAAAATTGCCTCTTCATTAGTTTAAGGCAGACAGGCGCCTCTGGGAGCAGGGCCTAAGGGGTGATGAGCAAGGGCTGGGAATGGAAACGTTAGTGCTGGTGGTGAGAGGGCTCCCGGGCGAATCCCTGCAGAGATATTTAACCTCCCAACGCAGCTTCCTGCTGCGGGTCCCTTGTCCCACTGGAATTTGCATTAGGACCATTTTGGGGAGCCTCAGAAGGCTTTACAAGCGCTATTTTCTGTGCCCCTCTACTACAGCCACTTCCAGCCTGTGCACTTGATGGGGAGATGTTGCAATAAAGAGAAAGCACTTGACCAAAATCAGCATTTCTCCACCTAAAAGCGTTCTGACTTGCAGCTCTTAGCACCTCATTAGTTAAAATGGAAAGGAAAAAAAAAACAAAAAAAACCCTCCACGGAGAAGCCAAGGGGGCCAACCCTACCTTACTCGGACAGTCACGGCAAGAAGACCAGCTTGGCTGGAGGCAGGGACCCCCCAGCGGTGCTTGGGAAGGGACTAAGTGCCCAGGCTCGAGCTTCAGTGCAGCCCTGGGGCTGTGGGTGGGGGGGTCCTAGGTGGGGCTGCTCAGGGCAATTAAGGCCTAACAGGGCACCCAAGGCCCTCGAGGGCTCGTCCAACAGCCCCAGCACGTTCACCCGGGCTCGCTGCCGGCTGAGATCAGCTCGGTGGCAGCCAGAAGGTGGCAACAACACTCAGCCAAAAGCCCGGCACGATTTGGCAGAGGCGTTTTGCAACCGGGAGAGTCGGTTCCCGGCGAAAGTTTTGCAAGGACGGTCCGGGCTTGCTCAGGCCTAACCCGCGCCTTCGCCCAGCCGACGGCACCGGGCCGCTCGCCGGCGCGCGAAGCCCTCGGCTGGAGGCGGGC